TTTTTTTTTTTTTTTAATGGGCATCTATTACTTTCAGAGTTCGAAAGATAATAAAGCTCACTGGGAAAAGTTTTCCCTTTGGGAAAAAAGAAGAGTCCCATGCAGAGAGGACAAAAAAAACAATCGTGTCTGGTGGGATTTGAGATATTGGTTGAAAAGCTTACTTGGAGCTTTCCAGATGCTCTCTGTCCCCCCTTCCCCCAAAAAGCTTCAGACTCTCTTGTCCCGGAATGAGGTCAGCCTGCTAGAGATCTTTAAATGCCAACAGAATCATAAAAATGCACAGTAAATGGAAATTTATTTTTTTTAAAAGAGCCTATTTAATTCCTTAGCTCATCTTGAAAACTATTTTATATTTCTTCCCTTGTGAAACTTTTGTGATTTTAGGCATATTTTTTCTTTAAATCATGGCAGTTCTCCTATTCTATTAATGGCAAGCATATATAAGGAAAAACTGAATTCCATGAATTTCACAATGGGTCCAATGAGAGTCTGAGTTAAATATCATGTTGGGGAGTCCTCAGCTGGTGCCTCCTCTCCTCTGCCTGCTGTATTCCGGGGTGCCCACCTGTGCCCCTCAGAGCTCCTGCCCTTCTTACACCCAGTGACCCTGGAGCCTTTCGACCTTTTCAAACTCTTTATTCTTTTCTTCCCGATGCCTCTTCTTTCCCTATTCTCATTTCTATGATTCTCCTCACTTTAGCTTTTTCACTTTCCAGTCTTCCATTGCACTCCTTCCTTTAGGGAAAAACTAAAACGAAATCTAACCACCACCTTTTCTGAGGTCACTGCCAGCCTTCAGGATGGGGGTCCCTGGTCACCCCATCCAGCCTCAGAGCCATGGTTGGCTTAGCAGGTTGAGAGTGTCCAGACTCCACCAGGACTGGGTACTAGTGGCCTGAGATGTGGGCACTGTGGGTATCCTATCTCGCCAGTACTCCTGAATCTTTCTCCAGACCAGAGGGGCTGGGTTTTATTTCCCACATGCCACCTGGCAGCTCCTGCCACATTTCTGCAGGAAGTTCACCTCTGCTGTGTAGCCTGCAGATATGGATGCGTCATGCTTCTTGTCTCTAAATTAAGAGGAAGCTCCTGTGCTATTTGCACTTCTCTCAAACCACGAATATAAACATTCTATGACTTAGGTGTTCCCGATTCAATATATCATGTGTGACACACAGTTCCATGTTTTAAGCACCTTGATTGATGAGATTGTTTACCTTTAGAGTTTTTCAACATCACAGAATAACCGGAAGGAACATTTGGTTCTGTACCCTGCCTCTCATAATCCTCCTGGCTCAGCTGACTCTCACTGTCCCTAGCACACCTTTTATAACCATGCAGTGTCCCAGGTGCTCCCCTGAAGGTGTAGGGGGCAGGCTAGGGCCAGCAAGCCAGGAGCTAGGAGATGCAGCACTCTCTGCTTCAGAATCTGAATTGCCAATCCAGGATGGCATAGCAGCAGAAATGCAGGCTGGCATCTCTAATCAGAGGTCCAGGAGGGCAGAGTAGCGGGGCCTGGCCCAGGCAAAGCAGAGCTCAGGAAAGCACAGTCCAGCCTCCCGACTGTGGAGGGAGACGAGGGCAGGGAGAGGGGCCCAGGGCAGCTGCTTTACACCTTCCTTAGTTTCAGGGCGAGTGCATTGCCCCAGCCCAGCACTGCTCAGGCCTGGGCAGGGCTGGACCTGAAAGGGCCTGG